TCGTTTTTCTTACAATGGCTTTGTCTTTTCAAATTATATGTGTCAGAAGAAAATACGTGTTATCATTTTCTTATGTTACAAGTGACTTTTTCTCTTTCCCCGTTTTGATGAAAAAATGGGGGTCTAGTAGATTGTTTATGCAATATCTAATTAAAGATTTAAAGCTCTTGAAAGCACTCACTGTCTTTAAAATTTCGAGATAAAATCACTGAAGTAGGATTCAAAACGTTTTACACGCACCGACAAGGATTTATATTACCACTAGTATCTAATATATACGTCATTGGTCTCCACAATCCACCCCAATGAATCAGACTGAAACATCTGATTTTAATCAGTGTGATTAATACATAATCTACGCAGTTTTTATATATAATTTCTCATGCAACTAGAGCATGTATATATATATATATATTTATGTAAACAAGTCTAAATTGAAAACAACGTTCAAATCTATGATTGCGTTGGATAAAAACCGCAATTTTTACACATGTGCATGCAAAACAAATTTCTTGGTAGAGGGGTCAGCACAAACAACATTTTCCAAAAGACCAAAAAAGTGGAAAAGTATATTTTAACAAAACGCATTTGACTAGCAGGTCGAACAACGGATGTTCTTAAACCCTACTGACTGTCATTGGCGATTGCCAAATAAACGGATCACCAGATGTAACAAAATGGTTCTTAACTATTAATTAACTACCAAACAGAAAACAATAAACTTGCGGAAAAGATGGTATACCACAAACAAAAGGTGCAAAAATTAGTACTCCATATATCGAGGGTTTTAGTGTTTGCGTCATACAAACTATACATTATATACAGTGTACGTAAAAATCACATCATTATAAAAATTTAAAATGTCAACATACAATGTAATCGTAAAAAAGTATTTCTTTTAAAATCTAACCTTTGACAATAAACATGTATAAAGATGAATAAAGAAAACCGTAAAAGTGCAGTGCGATATCTTGAATATTATTAAAAGATTACACATATATTTAGACTTTTTCTTCAAATACACATTCACTTAAATTTGGCATACTTTCAAACTTTCTAACATATAAATTAATTTAGACATTAACATGCAACAACTCATTGCGAGCTTTAAAGACTGAGGTCAAATATATTTTGCCCATTTCAACAACCTTTTTTCCGATATCATCACCGAACAAAAAGACTATGTCTGCGATGATTAATTTAAGTTTATTAAAGCGAGGCAACTGTGAGAAAAACACATCGGTTCCTGCATTGTGAACAGATATATCATGTTATGGAGGGGTATTTGCGAAAAATACCAGTCAAGGGACGGTGAGATTTCCCAAGGCGAGGAAATTTGGTCCCAAGACTGGTATTTTTCGCAAATATCCCTCCATAACATGATATATCTGTTTAATTACACCGAATAGATTTTGATTGAAACTGTCTGTACATGTGAAGGGAAATCGTAGTACCGCGGGAATTATACATGTACTTATACGCGTTTGTGCTGTCTTTTTGTAACGTCATGGTATCTATATGTGTAAACGTCATTGTTATACCATCATTAAATCGTTCATTTGTATAGACATTTTTTTCCCCTCTTTATATGTATATTTCTGACACTTTTCGGTTTAACTCAATCAATAGTGCTTAACCATGTTGTCGGGATAAAGTGAGAAAGGTTCCGAATAATTTTGGCGGGAACTGGCTCGCGAGGGTAAAAAAGGAATATCCAAAATGGCAAATACCACGGCAGAGAGGGGAATTTGAGGCAAATTCACCGGCAGTGGTGAAAAACAGGCAAATTCGTTTGAAATGAGGAAAAAATGTTAGAATATGCGAAAAATACACTGGCTAACAACTAATCAAAATCCGGCATTCTTATATAAGGTGTAATTAAGAAGGAAATCGTGCAAATCAGAAAAGAAACGTTCTCGAATGTCATTATATGCCTGGCATTCCAACAATACATTCAAAACAGATTCTTTAATACAACATGTTTGACATGTATCACTATCTTTCAATTTCATGCGGAATAACACAACATTCAATGGAAGACAGTTTGTTCTAGCCAGAAACTTACAAAATCATCTACTTTTGTTAAATAGGACTGTCGTGCTTGTGTAATGTAAAATCAACGGTAATAATCGAGGCTTCGCTTTTAAAGGATTTTGGACTTGGGCTTATTACAAGCTTCTATACAAACAAACTTATTAAACGTTTTAATATTAACATTTCCATGTATAAAATGGTCTAGTCCCGTGGACTAGATTATGCCGTTGACTAGAATATGCCGTTAATATGATTAAAGTATTAATTTTTTGATAATTTAAGTTCGTTATACATCATTTTGCAATATCTTGTACCAGGTAAAGAATATAATCTAGCTAAATATGTGATCCTTTGAAGGTCCATATAATTTGTTAAAGATTCCCATCCTAACTGCGATAAAACAGAGCATTTTGGAAAGTTCATTTTAGAGTTAATTATAACTTTTGCGACTTTGTACTGCCAGCTGTCTAGCATTTCGCGGGGTACCATACGCCACAAGCATGAGCAATGAATGGACGTATAACCAAAATCCACAAAGCACAGCCAAAATTAAACCGATTAAAATCACCGTGTTCTCCTAAGACGCGAATAATATAGTTATGTTTCTTTTCAAAGTTTTCCTTTAGGTATTTCTCGATATGATGATTAAATTTTAACGTTCTTGAGAAATAAACTCCCAAGTATTTATATTCGTTTCCTTCACCAATTAAAACATCCCCTAGAAACCAGTTATTATTTGCGTTAAGTCTTTTTCCTACTACTAGAACTTTCGTTTTTTTGGCATTAAACTTTAGGTTCCATTTTGAAACAAATTCACTGGCAACATTCAGCAGGGTTTGTAATTCTTCGACGGTTTTCCCATGTAAAACAATATCGTCTGCGAAGAGTGACTTGTAACTTCTGTCGCTACATTAATACCGAGATTCTTTTCTTTTATCATTGAGACAAGATCAGACATTAGAATAGCAAATAATTTAGGAGATAAAATACATCCTAGTCAAACTTTGTCTTAATAAAAAAAATTCTATATAATTTCATTTAACATTTATTTTACGAAACAAGTTTTAAACCGAGTAAAAAGGAGATTGCACAATGAAAAATATCAATCGTCACGCTTGTCAAAGATCTTAGTTTGAAGTCGTTCTTCCGTGTCAATTTCAAAAGAGAGATTTAGTCTAAGATATGAAACAGACCTTGTGGTTCCGGTAGTATTCCGTTAATGTCAAGTTCACTTGGCTTTATGAGATGTAAACACTCTCTGAAATGTGGGTTATTGAGTGACATGACATCATCAATATATGTGAAGATGAAATTAAAGTATTGGCAAAATGGTTTTTATTTTTTTTTTTTTGTCAAAAAGAATTCACTGTTTCATATGAAAATATTAAAAAAAAAAGACATGTTGGTCAGTAAGGATGCACAATTAGTTCCCATTGGAATACCGACTGTTTGCTGAAATATCAATCCACCAAAATCGACAGATATGTTGTCATTTAAAAAATCCAGCATTTTGTTGATATCGTCTTTGGTGTATTTGTATATGGAAGCCGAGTGGTATCTTCACAAAAAAAAAGATTTTCCATAATATAAAACAATCAATTTGCATATACGATTAAAAATTCTGTAGAAACACTGTTTAATGAGAAGGTGTGGTCGATATTAAGATTGGGTATGAGGAATGGTAGTTTAACATTGTAATGATGAAAGATTTTAATTTAAATATGGAATTTCATCGAAAAATATCATATTCTATTTCCTAACTGTAAAGCAACGTATTGGCTCGGTAACGAAGGCTATTTAAAGGTTAATAACTGAATTTTTTAACGATATATACGCGCCCATTCTATACATTTGAGCATAGGACATTTGAGCGCAACTAAAATATACACATAGGGTCATTTGAGCGCCGACATCATAGGACATTTAAGCGCCAGAATTTTAACCTTACCTGGATTTTCAAATAGGACGTCTGAGCGAAATTTCCTGTGATACTTTTATATGAATTAAGAAAATGTTTTTAAAAAGTAAGAAAAAAAAATGACTTTTTAATATAAATATAATTTGTTTGATTTTACACCCGAGTAATTCGAACGGTTAGGGCTAGTTAATGGTAGTTTAGTCCTGAGTTGATCTCTTCTTACCAATCAATTCTACTATAATTCATTGGCTATGAAAATTTTCTTTGTTCTAAATTTCTTATATTTATAAAGTGCAAAATGTCCCTTGGCACTTGAGATCTTAGTACTAATACATGTACATGTTAAAATGGATATAATTTTGACCGAGACTAATAAAAGAAAAAACAGCATTGTTTGTGACAGTTTCCGATATAAAGTGGACAAAAAGCTAAAAGGAAAACGTAAAGCCGATGATGATATAGCTCAACGTCATTCGAAAATTATCCGTACCGAGTTACAGAACATGGATGAGGCAAACCTAAAATCTGAAGACATTAGCAGCGTTTCAAAGGCTATAAATAGAAAGAGACTTAAATATCACCCTGCAGTTCCAAAATCTAGAGAGAGAACGCACGAATCGTTAACGAAGATGAATATTGAGACAAATAGATTTGAACATTTTTTACAGGTTAATGATGAACGAACGAACGGAAGAGATACTCCTTCATCATTCTTAATTTTTTTTCGCTCAAATGTCCTACACTTATCTTTATTTTCGCTCAAATGTCCAAAAATATCGGCGCTCAAATGTCCTATACTTTGGCGCTCAAACGTCATTTTTTATCGCTCAAATGTCCATTGCCGATACATTTATACTTTGAATGGCTACTTTATTTCTTGAAGTATAAACGTTTCATTTTACGTATATATAATTTTCGATAACAAGATGACGTACCTGATGTTTCGTTAATTCCGATCGATCGTATATTGCTGTACCTATTATCTGAAGAAAAAAAAACGTGATATTGAAACGATATTTAATAACTTTTTTTAATTTCATTTTTTTAGAATTGGTAAGGATACAATGGGAACCGACACAAAGAAAGAAGTAGACAAACAGACAACAAATGAAGACATTCCGTTGACAAAATTTCAGATCCTTCGGAATGTATTTGTCGTCAGCATTGGATTTGTCTTTCTTTTTACATCCTTTCAGTCGTTGACAAATCTTCAAAGTACTCTTAACAAGGACGAAGGGATCGGCACAGGAGGATTGTCCATCATCTATGGAGCTCTTGTTATATCATGTATGTTTGTGCCTTCGTTTGTGATTAACCATATTGGTTGTAAATGGACCATTGCTGCCTCTATGATCTGCTACATTCTGTATATGGCAGCCAATTTCCATGCTGTGTGGGGTCTTATTGTCCCAGCATCTATTATCATCGGTCTAGGTGCTGCACCTTTGTGGTCTGCTAAGTGTACATATCTAACAAAAACAGCTGTCTGGTATGCGAAATTGACTGGAGCAACAGAAGATGACGTCATTAACAGATTTTTTGGTTTCTTTTTTATGGTTTTTCAGACAAGTAAGTAAATTATAATAAGAATAAGACTCGAGACAAACATCAATGACACTCCTCCTCCTCCCACGATACATGATTTTAAAAATAAACATAGAAAAAGAAAATATTAAAACAAAAGACACATAAAGAAGATCAGTCCTCATTTTATTTTCAGCAATCTCTTTCATAAATACAGTTTAGATGTGTTTTTATGCAGACAGAATGCACTTGTGCAATTCAAAATATGTAGACAAAAACGCGTGGAAACCAAACAATTTAAAAGTCATAGAGGACCACCAGCAAATAGACATCAACAATTCTGTAGAGTAGTTCAAGGGAAGATCGTATAATTAGAAGAAGGGATCCATCGAAAAAAATACCATAAATCTACACTTAAAAACGTCAACGAATTATTTTCTTAAAACTAAGCTAAAATCGAAACACTGCACACTCATTGTTAGAAGTATACTTTCTCTTTCACCAAAAGTTCTATTTCTGCAAATTTGTTTGTAAGTTTAAGTAAACAATGACAATGACATCGAAAACACTATTTTTTTTATAAATTGAAGTTGGTGAATTGGTTGTCTGACACGTTTATGTATTTGTGATTTGTCTGTCCTGTCTCGCTATGTATTATCTCATGTTTGTAATTATAGTGTCCTCTTGTACAACTGTCCTGCATGTGTCTGAGGTTATGAATAAAATTTTGAGTCTTGACACTTTTAGGGTTTTTGTCATTTTTTATCAAGCACTATTAAAGTCAGACTATTTGCCATGTTTAAATCAGTCAAAACAGTTTTTTTTAAATATTATTTTTCATACCTACCTACCCTAATTTTTTTTCAAAATGTTAACGGAAACACCGGTATTGTTTATTAGCTTAAGACCTCAGTTGCGCATTGAAGATTTTTTTTTCTTAAATCAGTAGCTCATTTAGATTTTGGAAGTGGGAAATTACAAGTTTGTTGTGTAAACACTTCCAATTATAATTATATAAAATCAAACATGATTAATATATGATCAAATTAAAATGATTAACATAGTCAAATTAAACACGATTAACATGAAATTATGATAAAATTAAACACGATTAGCATATGATCAAATTAAATATGATTAACATAATTTATGATCAAATTAAACATGATTAAGAAATTATCAAATTAAACAGGATTAACATATGATCAAATTAAACATGATTAAGATATGATCAAATTAAATAAAACAGGATTAATTCAACATATGTTAATTAAGTTTAACTAACAGTGGCGGATTCAGAACTTTTCCAACAAAAGTGGGCCCCCCCCCCTTTCCCCCTGGATCCCCCTATGACTAACCATCATCTTTGTTTCAGGTCAAATTTGGGGAAATCTGATATCATCTGAAGTATTTAGTAAATCAAAGTCTAACTCCACCGCAACAGCAGATGAACTTGCAGAATGTGGAGCAAATTATGACCCAGGTAGAGAGGTTAACAATACTAATCTTGATAGACCTGATATTACAAAGGTAATGATTATTGTTTTCGATGTCTCTGGTGCTTATTCTTAGCAGACAATAAATTATAGAAATAGTAAGTAAATCGAATTGATGGCAATGTAACATATATATGATTTCAATAATTTTTCATGTGATTATTTTTGTTTTCGTTTCTACGTGACTGTGAAATTTTCAGAATTTAAAAGACCATATGTCCTATAAAATTTATGAGGTTAGTTTAAAGGGAGGCGAAAGATACCAAAATGATATTCAAACTCATCAAACGAAAACAAACTGACAATGTCATGACAAAAAACGAAAAATGACGAAAAGACAAACAACAGTATATAAAACACATCATAAAAAACTAATGATTGAGCAACACGAACAATTTTTTTTATAAATAATAAGATTACATTTTACTTAAGACAACTCTTGAAACATGTACATCGTCGTGAAAAAACCCTTTCACAGTTATTTTCTATGCAACCTACTTTGATTATGTAAACTTGCACACAATGTGGCCTAAATATATAAGTTAACAGTCAGGTAAATTAGGTTGCAATGACTCACATCCTATGCTTCACTGACTTTGGTTATAGTTTACATATGAGCACAATAATATACAAGATCTTCTTAATTGTAAAATTGAAGCACATTAGCGAGCATGTTAATACCATAACAAAATGAAGAAACTTTGACCTACAATCCATGCCTCATTGGCTTTGTTAAAGAATACACAATTTAACTACATGTAGATCCCATATCTCTGGTAAAGTTAAAACACAAAATGTAAAATTAGATAATAATATATCTATGTTTCGTTTAACTAGTTTACGCCTCCTTTTGGAAAGGGTATAATAGTAGTGGTCCGAGGTAATTGTTGTTTCAATATGGAGATTGCAAAAGTCGTATTACGTGACATTTTTCTATGCACATGCCTTGATTTTTACACAGACGAATCAAGCAAACGTTATCATTTCCATCTAATCATAGACGACCACGCTGTTCCAATTTGACTTCCTCACCTGATTAAAACCTGCCGTAAGGTGACAGTTGATGTTTTCATGTAGAGGATATTGTACCGATCTCAACACTGCATATATTTCTGACGTTATCACGTGACGTTTGTATGTAAAATGTAAAATGAAATCGGACAAGGTAAAATGGATTATCTCGGACCTAAAGTGTTAGCTGGATGGTTAAATTACTGTCAAAGTAAAAGTATTTATCTTCAAGGATAGAACTTTTATACATTGAAAGCATTTTTCACTTAAATAAGGAAATATGTCCATATTGATAATAATTATAATTGATACAATGGAAATCCTTTAACCATATCATATAAAACAAAATTTACGCAACAGGATTATTTTTTCTCTTTCAGGTGTATACTGTATGTGGAATTTATTTGGCTAGTGCCACGATCGGATTTCTCATTATTGTTTTCTTTCTTCAAAACATACCAGTTCATAACGAAAATAAAAAAGAAAAAGGCAAATTTTCTTTTCATTTGCTGATTGAAACTTTTAAACATTTCTGGAAATCCCCAACTCAAAAGTTGTTAGTGATTTTGACGATGTACAGTGGTGTAGAGCAAGCATTCATTGCTGGAGACTTTACTAAGGTAAGAAGTTGTTAGTGTTATTGACAATGAACAGTGGTGTAGAACAAGCATTCATTTGACAGGTGGAGATTTTACAATAAATATACGCTTCTTCCCATTATAACAAGTTTTAAATCGCTCTGTGTCTAGAATAGAGATTAAAATCATGAATAAATTTAACAGAGATAATCAGAAATCTTCAAAAAAGCATGTTGGGTAATGTTCAACAATCGGTCTTGAAAAACAAAAGACAAGATTTAGTGTCTATTTATTGTCAATAAACAATTTCTCATAGATACAAGGATTAAAATTTGTACGCCAGACGCTACAAAATGCTCATCAGTGACGCTCGAATCAAAAAAGTTAAAAAGGCTAAATAAAAAACTAAGTTCAATACGTCTTACTCTCGAATAACTATTGATGGGAATCCTGATTGGGTACAGGCATGTGGACATGTTGCTGGGTTGTAGTTTTCTTTACATCTCAATCGTCTAGCTTACTATAGTTCTTGATCAGTTGATCACGACAGATATTTAGAAATAATTATAATAAAAACCGGTTCAGAAAAAGACGATAAATTATTGTAATACTGGTATAAAAAAAACCAAAAAAAACAACACACGTACAAGTATAACAAAACTTAAAACAATTACCAATAATTACATTAAATGTATGTTAAATTGGAATCCGAAATTTTGATTGGCTGACAATAATTGCAAGGCACTCCAATGTCATAGATCTGATTTCCGTATAAAATACAACAGCTATGACTACACGTGCTATCCGTAAAATAATGCATTAAAAATAAACAAAACACTTGGTATAACACTTAATTGCATGGTTGTAGCATGAAAATGTTATTAAAAGAATAGAATGCTTCTTTTCATAGGGTTTTTAAAGCGTTGATCGTGTGCACATTTTTAATATGAAGCGCTTTCACGCTTTGTACAAAATGTCCTTAGGTCAACGCTTTTACACCTAAATAAATTTATAGAAAGAAGCATTCAATTCTTAAATCAAAGGTCACAGTTACTAAATAAAGCTCAAGACTTAACGTATTAACCTTCTGACAAAAAGTATGTCAACCAACAACGTACCTTTTGCAAAAGTAATTTAATTTTGATAAGGTCTTTTGTACTAAATGCAAATTTCAAATCCACGATTGATTACAACTCAAATTCTGATTTCCCTTATATGTACATGAAGTCAAATTTGCAGTTTAGACAGCTTCATCGATCCTGGCTATTTAAAAAATGGCAAAGGATATTTTCTGCAATTTTGTCTACAGGAAAGTTAAAAAGTTTAGAGTTAAAATACAACGATCGACTGTTTACATTGGAAACTCTACTTTCCTCTGCCAATACAACTGATATAATAAAATGTCATTGCAAAAATACGTGATATTAAACATAGCAACAAAAGGAAAGACAACTAAAAAAAACAAATAATCGTTTCTTCGTTATCGTATACATTATTTCTTGTCTTTTAAAGTCTTATGTAGGCTGTACCATTGGTATTTCGAACGTAGGATATGTCATGATATGTTATGGTGTGGTGGATGCCATTTGCTCGTTCAGTTTTGGTAGACTAGTAGAGTATATTGGACATATACCATTTTTTGCGTTAGGTAAGATTTGGTCTTGTTTATATGTAGCTTTAATTATTACCAAACTTATATTGATAGTTGCAAAAAAGTATAACAAAAATACCGAACTCCAAGGTAAATTCAAAAAGGGTAAGTCCTTACAATCTGACAAAATCAAACGCTATCAATCAGCGGAACAAGTGAAAAACAACTGCCATACTCCTGACTTGGTACAGGCATTTTCCGAGAAAAAAAAGGTGGGTTAAACCTGGTTTTATAGCTAGCTAAACCTCCCACTTGTATGACAGTTGTTTATAATTCCGTACTATTAACAGAATTGGGTGAGCATCCCAAACAAACATAACAGGTTAATGTGACAATAATTGGGATCCAGCTTTTATAACCAAGGTAAGACCATATTTTGGTGATAGCCAATGATAAGACCTATAAAAGTAAGCCAATAGGTAAACTCATCAAGTTGTTCGATGACAAGGTCAAAGCTGTTCTTCAAATCATCCTATTTCGCAGAGAAATGGGGGAACCAAATTCCTCTCTATTTGATTTACAGACAGTGTTACATTTAAATCTTTAAAAGAGAGACGAAAGATACTAAAGAGATATTCAAACTTATAAGTCGAAAACAAACTGACAATGCCACGGCAAGAAAAGAAAAACGATCAAGACAAATAACAGTGTATTTTGAGAAAATCTGTCGAAAATTAAGAAATTTTGCTGTTTAGCGGACATCGAGTTTAGTTATAATATATGTATACTGTTTTATATTTGGTTAAACAAATCATTCAACGTATTTGTTGAAAAAATCGTCTTAGATGTCAAAAACGGATTGAAACTGTACGACATATTCGTTCATTCTAAATATGTTTTATTTGATAACAGACTTTGGCATATATAAAATTTGTATATTCATTCATGTTTCGGTCAAAAGACATATTTCTGATAAAAGCAAGAACAAGAAGAGATTGTAACACCAAAAATAAATGTTGCCGAAGTTGTATCTACAATGAAATGTATATTATTGAGCAAACACTACATGAAGATGGAAATGAATCATTTGAAAGAGTAGTTAAACTAAAGCAAACCAATGCTTTGAAAATTAACAGAAAATATTCATAGGATTTTGAAAATGTGTGTAGTCTACATGGTCTAGTAGCTGAATTTTAAAAAAGAATTCAAATTTCGTTCCATTGACATATTATTGTTATAGTAGAAGAAAGTCATAAGCTTGAAATCAACGTCAGGTTGAGCTTCTTGCCAAACAGTTTCTATCCTCATATGATTAGGTTAATTTCTAGATTATCCTTGAGTTGCGAGTAAGAGAGAAGTTATTACATATTTGACAAATTAGTTGTCGGGTATCTGCCACTTTATTGCCAAAAATAAAATTTAGATTGTTTAACGTTGCCTACCTACCCACCTAAAAAGCAGCCTAACCGAAAAAAATTCATGACACAAATCGGTCAAATTGTTTTTTAACAGATGTTTTCCTGCTCTCACGTCGTTTTCTTGTCTAAAACATGTAACTTATGTTGTACATTAAAAATTCCCCACCTATCTACCCAACCCTACAAGGCATGGGTAGGCAACATCAAACAAAGATTTGTTTAAGGGTGACCTAATGTTAGAGCTCGATTGAACAGTGATCTTTAATAACATAACGATGTGTTATAAATCATTCCAGCTTTCTTTGTTCATGGCGGTACACAGATTGCTTTACTCTTGTGGCAGCCGCAGCCAAACCCTACATACATATTTTATATAGTAGCTGGTTTATGGGGAATTGGTGATGCTGTAATACAGACACAAATTAATGGTATGTAAATAAATAAATCTGCAGATGTATATTTCTACTTTCGTCTGCAAGACTCAAGTTTATAACCACTATTCGTTACCTTATTATTGTAATAAATGGTATTAAAAACGGTATACTGAGTTAACAGCAGCAAAAATGTCTTCGGACAATAACATCGAAAATAAAATTCTGTTGAAAGTTTATTAAGCTAGGTTCACACTGCCGATTAGATCAACTCGATGATCCCGATTGCCCAAATTTCCCAGACCAAGCGTAACAAAATTCTTGATCGGGCCTGTTTACGACTTCTTCCCGAACGCTATCCGACTGTACACGACTTTAACTCGACCATTCACTACTCTTTAATGATCCATCACGAGTCCAACTCGACCACTAATTAAATACATATTCGATCATTCCGACCAATTCACTATCTCTACACGATCTTTAATCAACTATACTCGATCTCAGCCCGATCTCGACCAGACCAGATCGACCTGATTGTATAGGGGTCGTAGGGATAGTCGGGAATTAGTCGAGTATGTACAATTTCAGTATAAAAAACGTCTAGATTTTTTATGTCCCGCCTCAGCGGAGAGGGCATTCAGTGTTACCCTTGTCCGTTCGTTCGTACGTACGTGCGTCCCAAAATCAGTTTCCGTTCTCTTACTTTATTTTGCCTCAGCCAAATGTTATGAAACGTATACACAATGCTTATTACCATAAAACACAGATCAAGTGCAAATTTGGGTGGCGTCACTTTTACCGTTCTTGAATTTATAACGTTATATGCAAGCAGGGGCATTATCTGTGTCCCATGGACACATTCTTCATTTATTTGGTTAGACTCAGTAGTTCACAAATGGTCGGAGTAACATCATACATTTAAAATATCTACATAACATTTAAGAAATTGGATTTGTTGGCAAGGTGGTTAGAGCGTCAGAGAGAGAGGTTAATAGCTGTGACGGAGCTTGAACATAAAAGAGAGCGTAGAAGACGAACAAAAAGGCGTAGACAGCAACGGGCGCCAAGAAATCTAGATGAGACAGTGGCTGACACGGCGACCACTGTATGGGCAGTATGAGAGACTGTTGCAGGAGCTCAACAGAGAGAAAGAACCCCAATGGTTGTATAAACTTCCTCAGAGTGGACGCTGATATGTTATCGGAGTTTTTACTGCTTTCTTACAAATTAAGCTTACTGTTTTTGTTATAAAATATTGTAAAAAGGGGGTAAAGATGTCAAATATTTCCCCAAATTTGGCCAAGAGTAGAATTCCTTGGAGTGATACCTTTTCTGAAATTGTTTACATATATCTATCAAGAGATCAAATAAAAATCACCTTGAAGACAATGAGGAAGAGTACTCGAGTACGGGTGGTTATGGGTTCGATCAGCCACCGAGTTAAAAAAAACTTTACATTTGGTATCCACGCGTAAAATTAAGTTCAAACTGCCGAGCAGATCGACTCGATCAAGCCCAATCAAGACAGATTAAGCGATCTGGAGACTGGTCTGACTCGTTCGACAAGAATGTTCGGGGTGGTCTACATTGCTCGTCATCGCTCTGACTTTCTACCAGACAATTTTTGACATGTCAAAAAAAATCGTGTATAGGATCAAGAAGCCAATCGCTCTAGAAGAGATTGGGAATTCGTCGAGTAACGGTCGAGTTGATCGGGACAAGATCGTGATGAGATCGAGTTTGGTCGGAATACAAATATTTTTTCGATCATTACTCGATCATCTCGATCTTTGCTTGATTAATATCCGATCGCTTCCCGATCACTGCGACTACTATTATTTTTGATCCCGGACCTACTCGACCAATACCGGTCGTATTGCCTAACATAGGTACCAATCCGGTGACAAAATCTCATTTGGTGGTGTCATTTTCAAGAAAAGAGTAAATTTTATAAATAAGAAAATACAAACGGTTCTAATTATTATGATTATTATTATTTTTTTTTTATTATTTCAAGGATTTCCTTAACTTTAAGGATCTCCTTAGAAACGTGCTATCAAGAAACTACATTTTTTTAAAACGCAAAAAAAGGCAAATCATATACCAAAGCTAAAGTTTTAACTTTAAACAAAACAAAGCATAATTACTTTTATTTTAAAACAATCTTGACAATTCTATAACACATGAGAACAAGATTTCATAATTAAATAACTGCATCGGCAGTTTGACGGTGAAACTAAATCATACTCTCTTGCCATTTAACTGAACCTGCTGGTTAATTGAAATAGTGCTTAAGATAGTGTATTTGACGGACTCAAGCGGATGTCACAGCATTCCTTCCATGGGTATGATCACCATCTGCCATCTGCCTTCCCTGACGCCATTCACCAGGTTGTAGTTGATTGTGCTCATTCTCATGGTCGATGGCCTGTCGTACGATAGAAAGATTCCGAATCCAGTGAAGATTATGCAGTGTAATACATGCAAGAATGATAGAATCAATGGACTCTGGAGACTGATTCAAGCAGCCCAGCAGGCATTGAAACCGCATGGCAACAATACCAAATGCGTTTTCCACCATTCGCCTTGGAAAATCTTCATAGTAAAAATATACAATGTGTAATTATACAAAATTAGTACAAATGCAAGACTATTATCACAAGTTATTGATAACATTGATGTTATTTTTCGCAAATTGATAACAATAAAACAATTGAAATTCTGTTTTTATATTAAACCTATAGAATTCCTTCTCTTTTGCATTTCGTCAGTACTGGTAGAGACCAAAAAGCGAATACCATGATGATAAATTGTTTTGAAAAAAATGAAAAATTGATACCCTCAAACATCAAAAGATATACGTTAGGCTTATGATATATTATAATTACTAGTAACTGAATTTTTTTAAAGGTAGTTTATAATTTTTGTTATTAAAGACTAATCTGTTATTGAATACCGTATGCGCTCTTCGTCGGTTAGGTTACGTCTGCAATATGGCTTCATCATCCAGATTCTCATTGGGAATGCATCATCTCCATACATGAAGGATGGGGTGTTCTTGTCATTGCCGGGTAGTGGGTCAGGTGACGTCATACAGAGGTTTTTTTCATCAATCAAAGTCCTTAGTTCAATGTGGTTGAGGAGGTGAGTGTCAGATGCACTTTCATTTGCACGAACACTGACCATTATGAACTTGTAGTCTGTGTCGACGAGGGCCAGTAGTATGATTAAGAAAAATTCTTTGTAGTTGCAGACAGTACAGTGTACTAGAGTGAGTCCTTTGAGCACTTTATCCTTACTTGCTTGCCAACCAGTGCTCCACATGCATGAGGAAAGTTCCAAAAGTCATCGGCAATCTGTTGTCACCGTTCAAGTGTTCAAGGATGACGACGGCTGGCATCACCTCTTCCGGCTCATGTACTACAGCTTACAAAACTTCCGAAACAAACAAGCAAATGATGTTTTAGCCATTCGGAATGAAAACATGAGCTCTGCATAAGAAGCGCCAGTTGCGAGATGGCGAAGGGTGACAGCCAGTTTCAGTCAAGGCTTGAAGGCTTTTCTCAAATATATAAAAAAAAGTTGAAAAATGTCTAAATATCATTCCTTCAATGATATTATTATCTCACCTTGCTTTCATTCGGATGAAATTGTCAATGTATAAACATGTCAACTTTCCTAAAAGTGGTGTTCTGTTTTTCAAGTCTGTGTAATATTTGGTTTAAAAGTTCCCCAAACATATCAGCGTCTACTCTTAGGAAGTTTTTACAACTATTAGACTGCAACAGTCTCTAATACTGCACATACAGTTGTCAGCCACTGCCTCGCCCATATTTATCGGCGCCGTTGCTGTCTACGCCTTCTTGTCCGTTTTCTACGCTCCTTTTCAAGCCCACAGCTATGAACCTGTCCTTCTGGAGCTCTAACCACCTTGCCCATTTTTGCAACTGCCCTATCTCCATGAAGATATTTTTATATGTATGATTATACTCAGAGCTTCTGTGATCTACTGAATGTTAACAAATAAAAGTCAGACGTTTTAATTGTATACTGAAATTGACCCAACGACCCCTTTACGATCAAATCTGGTTGAGATCGAGTATATAGTTGATTAAGTCTAGCTAGTCAGTAAAGAGCGTGTAGAGATCGTGAATTGGTCGGGTTAATCGAATAGATATTCAATGCGTGGTCTGGATGAAGTCGCGAAGGAGTCGTTAAGGAATCGTAAATGGTCGAGTATGAGTCGTGTACGGTCGGATAGAAGTCGTAAACAGGCCCGATCAAGGACTTGGTTACGGTTGGTCGTAGAAATTTGGGCAATCGGGATCATCGAGTTGATCTGATCGGCAGAGTGAACCTACCCTTAAGTATGACTAAGACAGGTCGGCTCAAAGTCGGAATAGTGTATCGAATTAGGATGAAATGTCTTTTTGCAGAGTGTTACATTGTGAGTTAGCAGATGAAAAATCCGACTCATACTGTTAGTATGATACAAACTGAGGTCATGAAAATTCATATCACCTTTAAATGTCAATATTATACATGTCCTATTTACCGTGCAAAGGAAAGCATTGTTCTATTTATCTATCAGTAATGTTATAAAACAATTTAATTTTTGAAAGAGTTCCTGTTTAGTCACATGAAACGGAGCTCACTACATCGTCAGAGAACAAAAATAATGGTTTACTTTCACCTCGCGTGAACTTGTAAAAAAATGTACAACCACTCTCATTTATCCTTTCTAATATTTGACCATGCGATACCCTATTGTAATTCAAGGTAATAATATATCTAATCAGATGATAAATTTCAATGTTATTTCAAGCGGCGCAGCAAGAATATACAACAAAGAAGAATGGTCATATACGTCAACACATATTTGAATGTCACTTTCAGAGGCAGACTATCGATATCAAAAGCGTGAAAAGAGAAAGTACAATACGTCTAAAAGAAACATCCGATATCCGCCAGAGGTCTCTTTTAATCATATGGCAAAACTTGGGGTACTTTGCTTATTTGCATAGTAAGAGAAATTCAAACTCAAGTGTCTGTAAACACAAAGTTTATGAACTATGGAAAAAATACACAGAAGATACTTTGGGAACAATAAAAAAAAACTATAAATCGAAGAAAAACAGAAAACACCATGACCAAAAATAAACTGAAGAAAAGACCAACAGTCTACAAACATTACACAGAAAACAAAAAAAGTATCATAAACCCACACAAAGGGGGTCTCAGATGCTTCGGAAGGGTATGCAGTGCCATGTACGATATTAATTCTTGTTCATATTACTGTTAATTACTTTCATAAAGATCTTTCTTTGAATCTTTTTTTAATTTATATATTTCCTATTTTTTCAGCACTGTATGGTTACTTATTCACAGACAACACCGAGGCAGCCTTTGCTAATTATCGTTTATGGGAGTCCGTCGGTTTTATCATTGCTTTTGCCTGGAGTAACTTCCTAATAACATATGTTAAGCTATACATATGTCTTGGATTTTTGAGTGTCGGGATGATGTTATATGTAGTAGTGGAAGTTTATGATAGAAGAAACAAGCAGAAGGGATTTGACTTGAATTGAACCTAGATTCCAGGGAACTTGCATATATCCTGAATCTGATTTTAGTACATAACCGTTAGCATAATATGATAAAATATTGTAAACTATGACATATCAAGGTAGTCCAGGTGTAAAATCATGTCGACCATCTTGTATTCCTAATGATCGGAAATAGATTTCTACTGAAATTACTCAACTTCAGTAATGTAGAAAAGGAATTCAATAACTTAAATTCTAATTCATGTGATGTATATTTTGGTAATATTTTTCCTATTAAGAGAAAATTATGATCGGTTGTAATGAATTGAAGTACATACGTTTCATTATTTAGAAAACCTCTACCGTTTCTTTTCTCCTTTTTCCCACAAATCATGTCTCTCTCATAATGATATTAAAAAAATCAGGAAACATTCCATAACCTATATATAGCTAATGCTTGGTCACTTATACTTTTCTATAGTAAATTTTGTAATAATAGTGCAATGATTTGCTTAAAAGAATTCATACGGTTCAGACTGTTTTAGAGTTTTTACACTAAATCTGTTGGATGTATACTGGTTGATATTTAGTATATGAAAACATGATTTATTCTTTGGCTGTAATTGGCTTTTGACAAACTTTCAGTAATATGTGATTACTCTTATATCATTGATTTGTGTCTATTGTTTTTTGCTTTGTATCGATTTATTGACTTAAGCCATTTGCAACTGATTTTTTATTTTCTTCTTATGTTGTGCTGTAACATCACTGTCCCATGTTAGAGGACGGTTGAGCGCCCAAAAAAACATGTTAAACCCCTCTACATTCTTTGTGTTCATGTCCTAAGTCAGGAGCCTGTAATTTAGTGGTTGTCGTTGGTTCGTTTTTGTCATACGTGTTTTTCGTAAATTGCTTTATAAATCAAGCCGTTAGTTTTCTCGTTTAAATGGTTTCATATTTTTAATGTCTGTGTCTTTTACAGCTGACTACTAGTATACGTTATGATTTTTTCTCATTATTGAAGGTCGCATTGTGACTTTTGAACGCTTTTATCTCAGTCATGTTTTTACTCGATATATATATCATGTATAATTGTAGCATATAGCATTACAATAACACCGCTATAGACTTACATAATAGTCCTAATAACTCCTTAAACTCACCACTCATATTCTGTATTTTGTCTTCACAAAGTTGACATACCTTAACCATTATTATCATGCTGTATTGTTAATATTTGTATGATTGTTTCTTACTAATTCTGACTTTGAATTCATTGTTGACGTTTGATGCAGATTGTACTGATGTCCATTATTTTTAATAAACCAATAAGAATAATGATAAACGCATTATTTGTTGTCATCCAACTCGTACAGAGGTGATTGGGAGCTAGAGGTAAGTAGACATTACCTTTTTTATTAGCAAATGCATACTTTATTTGGCCTTTTCAACTTCTTTTATTAGAGCATCACTGATGATTTTATTGAAGGCGTACATAATTGTAATCCTGGTAATGATGAGTTTATTTACTATATAAGTATGACAAATTGCAAATTGCACGACTTTGAATAAAAGAGGGACGAAAGATACCAGAGGGACAGTCAAACTCATAGATCGAAAACAAACTGACAACGCCATGGCCAAAAATAAAAAGACAAACGGACAAATAATAGTACAGATGACACAGCATAGAAAACTAAGGACTAAGCAAAACGAACCCTACCAAAAACTGGGGGTGATCTCAGGTGCTCCGGAAGGGTAAGCAGATCCTGCTCCACATGTGGCACCCGTCATGTTGCTTATGTTATTACAAATCCTGTAAATAGTCTAATTCGGTAGGTCTCATTCGTGAAAAGGGAAGGGTATTGTAATTACGACATAAGGAACATATCCGATATCATCTGTGAAACGGTTGTTCCATAACGGTCCACCAACTCGTGATTACGTCCGTAAAATTTACGAAGGGATGACTTCAACTTCACCATTTGGAACTCTTGGTTCAATAGCTTCCTTGTAAGCAGCAATACTCTATCAAGGAAATCATGATAGTAAATACAAGCCCTGGAATATCGTATCAATTGGGAGAAATATACTCCGTATGCAGGCGCTGCTGGAATGTTGCTACATAGAAATGGAAAGTTCACAATTGGGAAGCTGAAATCATCTCTTTTGTCGTAAAGTTTTGTTTTCAACCGACCCTCATTGTCAATTTCTAGATGTAAGTCAAGATATGAGGCAGACTTAACTGTATCTGTAGTATCCTTTATCTCTAGTTCGATGGGATAGATTCGTTCAACATAGTCACCACATTTTGTATTATTTAGTGAGAGAACATCATCTATATAGCAGAACGTAAAGTTAAAGGATATTGCTAACTTGTTATCTTTCTTCCTAAGAAGTTCCTGTATGAAGTCAGCCTCATAATAATAAAGAAACAAGTCGGCAAGAAGAGGGGCACAATTGGTTCCCATTGGAGTTCCAACAGTCTGTGGGAAAAACACGTCCTCCAAACGTAACAAATATGCTGTCAATCAAGAAATCAAGCATCTTGATAATGTCAGTTTCAGAGAATTTTTTGTTTGAATCAGAGTGATTCTTTACAAAGTAGGATTTATCCCTCCCCAAGACAAGATACTTGTATCTACGTTCGCCATTCTTTTTAATGAAACAAAGTAATACCAACTCTTTCAATTTGTCTTTTAGTTTGGAATGGGGAATACTTGTGTAAAGTGTAGAAAAGTCAAATGTTTTAATACTATTGCAAGATGAGAGAGTCTTAGATTGTATGTATTCTAAAAGATCTTTGGATTTTTTTAGTATCCACATCTGATTCACGCCACCTCTAGAATAGGCAGTTTCACAATAACTTTGGAGCCCGGCTTTGATCGCTGATAAAATAGATGTTAATAATTTCGAAAGAGATTTCGTGGAGCACTTGGAAGACCCAGCAATATACCGTTGTTTGTAAGGACACTTATGTAGTTTAGGTATCCAATACAGTGATGGAAGATCCAGTTCTTCATCTTTGGTTGAAATTCCAAAGGAACATAGAACAGACCTATGATTATCCAGGCTTTCCTCTTTGGTAAGTGTCGTGAGGGTATATGTTGAGTTACCTTATTCATTTATCAAGCAGTTTATGTAATGATATTTACACACAAAAACGATGTTGTTTGGGGCTTTATCTGCGGGGACAACAACATATTTGTCATGGAGGTAGGACAAGTGTTTTGCAACATTTGGGTCTTAAAAAATTGACGTAGCGTGGGTATTGATAGACCCATTTAGTTTCTTAATTCGGATTTGTATCAACGATCTCACAGCCTTAATCCATTCGGAAAGAGTATCTACGTTTTTTTTTTCTCGCGTTTAGCCCATTGCCTGGCATAATCCTCGACTGAATCCATCAGTATTTTGAAGTTGTATTTCCAATTGATGGATTTAGGCTAACGATATTTCAACCTTTGGATAACAAATTACGCAGGGAAGTGTTATTGACAATGTTGAGGTCTCCGGTAATAACGTGGCCAGCCGGATTATATGTGAATTGGGAACTAGCACAGGTGCAATCAGTAGGTTTAGACTTGAAGTCGTCAATGTTGAGATCCTGCAAAACGTGTTTGTAATTGAAAATAAACGTGGAACTATGTCTGCTGCAGAGCTGGAACATCGGGAAATGAATCTATATGTCATGGCTGTTTTTACTTTAATACCATATGGTATCAAATGTATTAGGCCAGATTCTTTAAACCGCGTAATTTCTAAAATATATTCTCCATCGGTCAAGAAATCAGACTTTATTAAGGACATGAATTCTCTCTGATTCTGAAAGTTTGCTCTTGACGGGAAGAATGCTGATATAAGGTGTATCATAATTCTGTAGATTAAAAATCGTATCTAGAATCTAAAAATTTAAAATAACCCATCTACCGCATGTAAAATGCATGTGTTCAAAATAGACTATACGTAGCTACACGGAATATAAGTCTTTTTTATCTTTAGTGACAGATTTGTTTTCTTATACAATTTGAATTTTACTAGTTTTTATCTAAACTAAAACAGTCTGGCTATCGTCGTTAAGTTTATTTTGATATCTGCAAAGAAAAGTGTACAGACATCTTTATTGTTTTAATGTACAAAAATAAAGAGGTGATATGTTATCTATTTCAACTTTTGTAAATGATAATCCATCTTTGTCACAAGTGTTTTTATGTTGTAAAGCATTTCATTCAAGTGTGTCTACCTCTGTTTACATATAAAAGGACCACTAGAAAAGATAGTACATGTAGTTAAAGGGTACTCTGATAATTTTATTGTTTCCCAGTACGTTTTTGTTTATTGTGATTGGGTCGTCAGAAAATTGTGTGTTAACTGCTTTGTGACGTTGAAATTAAGTTATTTGTATTTATTCCAAATATGCTCTATATCAATAAACGCTCTTCATAAAATTTATAACAATTGTATTTAAGGTTTTGCATGTTTGGCGTCTTTAGCCGAACAGTTTTATCTTTTTACTTGATTCAATTCCTGTGTGCTAGTTCAAATTCTGGACGCCATTCTTTGCTCCTTTCAATTGGACCTGTATGATGTATTTTTTTAAATATTAGTTCATTTATATGTTTCAAACCGCATCGGTAGTCTCATGGTAGCGTGTTCGCCTCGAGTGCGGGAGGTCGTGGGTTCGAACCCCGACCGGGTCAAACCAAAGACTTTACAATTTGTATTTGCTGCTTCTCCACTAAGCACGCGACAATAAGGAGTAAGAGCAAGGACTGGTCTGCTCGGATTCAGAATAATGTGTCCAGGTAAGGTGACATGTCTTTCTGTGGACTTTTACCTTGTGCACTAGCACGTTAAAAATCCGGCTCAGCGTGTCGGTCTAGTACAAAGCAGTGTAAATATTCATATTACATTAACATGTCCTCGTCCTTAATATACATATTAATTTCCACTGGACGTTAAGCAGCCATCCATCATCATCATCATTTATATGTTTCGGAGTTTAGTGTGACGTCCATTTCGCTGAACTGTTATACAATTACTATTTAGGGGTCAGCTCGCCTCTGGTGCGGGATTTTCTCGCTGTGTTGAAACCCCAGTGGTGGCCTTAGGCTGTTTTCTGCTTTTTGGTCGGGTTGTCTCTTTGACACATTCCCCGTTTCCATTCTCAATTTTATCTGTTTTCTGACTAATTTTAAAGTAGTACATTTTCTAATTGATTTACACCATTTTCATACAATGTGCAGATACCGTACGATGTACTGTACGTCTTGCGTTCATTTAAATGATTGACATAGCAATATCTCTCCCAAAAATTGCATTATTTCAACAACATAAAATAAGTAGATTGTAATTCAGTGGCTTGTTTGTCGAAGGTACGTGTTTAAGGACTAGGGCGTGTCATGACCATCTTACATGTATGACATATATTTGACCTCAGTGGGTTTATCAAACATGTCTACACTGAGGGAGATTCGCTGAATGTAATTGTTTAGGGCGGTCCTAACTGTTAGGATAAAGATTTACACTTTTCCATTTCATCAAAGAGAGTTTGCAGCTCGGTATAAGTTGACTTAGTATTCTGTATATTGCTCATATTCGCGCATGTATAAAATTGGGAATGGAAACGGGTAATGTGTCAAAGAGACAACAACTCGACCAAAGAGCAGAAAACAGCTCAAGGCCACAAATGGGTCTTCAACACAGCGAGAAAATTCCGCAACCGGATGCGGGCTTTAGTTGGCCCCTAAACAAAAATATATACAATTACTGTTTCAGAGAAAATATATAAATATACCAAAATTAAAAAAAAACATACAAGACTAACAAAAGCCAGACGTTCCTGACTTGGGACAGGCGCACAAATGCGGCGGGGTTAAACATGTTTTGTGAGATCTCAACCCTCCCATATACCTCTAGCCAATGTAGAACTAACAAACACATATCAATACGCGATACTATAGCACTTGAATTCACGTTCTAGTGTCTACTTACTAGGAATTGTTGATAATTTCATTTTTCGTTCAACCATGAAATGGTGTTACGCCATTCGTTACGACTTGTCCATTTTTATGACGATTTTAACCAATCACAACTTTTTGGTGTACGCTTTATCATCAAAATTAATTATCCTGTGAATTATAACTGTGCACTAAACTAATGCATAGTTATTTTTTTTTTTATAAAAAAAAACATTTATTCAAACAACTGTAGATTCTAAAGATATGTTAATAAAAGAACGCAATTAGCTATAAAAACAAATGCAAAAATACTAGGGTTAAATATAACGATTTCATTACATGTATCTTTGCATTACTCAAAGTCTGGCAAACCGGTTTGAAATTC